TTGTTATACTAGCTACATTAGTAGTAGCAGTAGTAGCCACAACAATAGAAACCAGAAACAGTAACGACATGCAATAGAAAGTAGTATTAGCATGAGTAATAGCAATATCAGGCAAGTAATTTTAATTTATTGTTAAGAAATGTAATGCAACATTAATGTGTTATTTATTATATACAACTGAAATCAAATCAATACTTATATGTACAGGCAAGTTTAATAAGCTACTGGTTTTTAAAATAACCGTACGTATCGACATATTCATATTCTCCCACATAAACACACACACAAACACACACACACACACACACACACACATACAAACACAAATACAAACTAACATACCCTCACACACACACACACACACACACACACACACACACACACACACATACACAGACAAACGTTCAGTGATATTTCTAGTATGACATTTGGATGATGAATATTATTATCGTAAAGATTTGCAAAATGCTAATTTCGTTATTGTTGTTTCTGCATTAGCAGCCATTGGAGTAGTTGTAGTATAAGTGGTAGTAGTAGTAATATTGGTAGTAGTGGTGGTGGTAGTAGTAGTAGCAGCAGCAGCAGCAGTAGTAGTAGTAGTAATAGTAGGGTAAGTTTGATTTACTAAATAAGATTGCATTTCAAAAAAGAATCACCAATGAGATCACAAACCACCACAACAACAACACTAACGATGACAACAACAACAACAAAAGCAATAACACTAACAACAACAAAAAGCAACAACAACAAAAGCAGCATTAAGACTAAAACCACAATGTCCAGTAAATCATTGACAAAAACAACAACACCCCAAATGAAAGCAAAACATTGCTTGTATTGATATGTAAAAATATCCTTACGGTCATCATCATCCAATTGCATGAAACAATACAAATACCCTGCCATACAATACAATACGAACACAATACAACACAATACAAATACAATAAAATACAATACAACACAAAAGGACAAAATCTGTTATCAAACTCATCTATTTACGTTTCAACAATTGTTGATACACGAACATATCATACAAACGCATAAAATACACACACATATATACACTCACATACACACCTACACACGCATACACACACATAAGCACATGAACAGACATACACAGTACACACACCACACACACACACACACACACACACACACACACACACACACTAAACTTAGAACAATCTGAGCAATAATAAAATTAAAAATCAATAGTAATAATAATAATAATAAAAATGTTTAAAATTCAACACCAAAGTAAACACTAGAAAGAGACTTATAATGGTAATAGTAGTAGTAGTAGTAGTAGTAGCAGCAGCAGCAACAGTAGTTGTAGTAGTAGAAGTAGTGGTGGTAGTGGTGGTTCTATGAAAGCATGTTTGCCATGTAAACAAGTTGTATGTGATGTTGTACGCATGTAGCTAAAAAGCCGTCTATATACTAACAGCCCAAAAAGAAAATAAATAAATTTCACAATAATAATGAAAATAAAACCAACAACAACAACAATAATAAAAACAATAATAATATAATAATAATAATAATAAAAACAATAATAATAATATAGTAGTAGTAGTAGTAGTAGTAGTAATAATGAAAACTCTTTTATTGATCTCAAAACTTTAAAAGCAAATGAATAAAATAGATGAAATAAATAATATGGCGTTAATGAAATAATAATAATAATAATAATAACAATAATAATGATAATAAACAGACATCGGCAAACACAAAACCAACCTATGTTTGTGAACGGCGAACAGGATGAACGTGAACATCATAAGAACACCCGCGCAAACCTCGCTAGCAGGAAAGGCCCACGTCTTATAAGGCAGGTTGTCCAGTAACAAATCTGGCAGGGGTGGGTATTTGGACCTCAGAGGGAAGACATCGTGGGCGAGAATGACCACCAGAGAGTTTGCAAAACCACAGATGGCCATGTAGACATAGCTTAAGATAAATCTCGGAATCTCTGAATAGTTTTGGCTGTTGTCGTTGTTTAGTATGCTTCGCCTTTGCAAGTGGTTTCTCTTGCTGCTGCAGCTGCCGTTGTCGTCGCCGTGAAGATGTTTGTCGTTGTTGTGGTCGTCGAAGAGTGACGTTGCTGTGGTCTGCAGGTTGAAGTCGTCAACGCTAGACGTTGATTTGACCGATCTGTGAGACCTAGGAGAGCAGACTTCAGGCTTTCCACACTCCTCCCACTTGCAGAATTCAGTCATGTCCACAGAAACAACCCCGGATAAATTATCTTTTATCATTCCATTTTTCTGCTGGCCGTGCTGACAGCAATTGTTGTGGTTGCAGTGGCTTCCGCTGCTGTTGCTGCGATGTCGACTGCAATAGTTGGACTTGTGGGCATGCTGGCATGTGAGCGACATGCAACCCATGCCAAATCGCCGCAACAATCGCTCGATGGTCGTCAGACTCCTTTCCAGTTTGGTTTCTGTGGGTGTTCCTCGTCTGGTCAACTTCTGGTAGGCACATGTGCTTTTCGGAGCAATTTTGAAGTCTCGACGAACGTCTCTGTTCAGTTAACAAACTCTAAAAGACTAAAAACAGGCGACTGACTCGATTCGTGACAAGGAGATATAACCTATGTATGTTGTTTTTTCCAATGTATCGTCTCCAATTATAAAGTCGTTAACTGTTTTGAACTTCGAGATAATTTTTCGTTTTAAAAATATCTGAAAAATTGTAAAAATCAAATAGCCTTGAATGAAAACGTTAAAATACAAGCAGAAAAATTGCATTAATATAGCACACGAGAAACAATATTCATCTCCTTTTAAATGTTACGACAACAGTTTATATAATTAATAATTTCACGTCAAAGCAACTAATATACTGGATTAAGTTAGAAATAATAATAATAAAATAATAACAATAATAATAATAATAACCTACAGTGGGTGATTAATCGATAAAAAGTTAAGGACAATGACTGTGTCAGGTTAAATAAATTTAAGTCGCTGAAAACGAATGATAAAACCACTATATATATATATATATATATATATATATATATATATATATACCATTCTTTCTCTCTATCCTTCTCTCTTTCTTTCTCTCTTTTTCTCTTTCTCTCTCGCTTTTTCTATCTCTCTATCTGACGTGTATATAATAAACAACTTTGCAAGCCACTATACAATATATATTCTTTTCCTTGCTCTCTTTACCCCCCCCCCTCTCTCTTTCTCTCTCTCTCTCTTTCTCTCTCTCTCCATTTTTGCTCTCATAATTGCATATAATTCATTTATACCAATGTTTATTTATAGCAATAGTAGCTAATAGACTATTAACCCTTGTCGTTATATTCTCATCATAATTGTTTGTCAATCAACATAGTTGTAGCTTATCATCAATTGTTCATCCTTTATGTGTTTGTTTGCTCGTTTGTTTGTTCGTTCGTTCGTTTGTTTTTGAGTCACTCGTTCAGTCAACCATTCCTTTATTGTTATTCAGTCACTCGTTCTTTAATTCGTAAATTAACTTACACGTTATTGTCTCATTCATTCATTCATCCAATCATTCATTTGTTTGTTTGTTCATTCATTCATTCATTCATCCATTCATTCCTTCATTCATTCACACAAGATCCATCGTGAAAAGGCCAGTAAAAACACCAGCCAACCAAACCAACTGACAATGCAAATGCGAATTCTCACTCAACATATTTAAACACCTCTTTGCCACTCTCTCTTTCTTTCTCTTTTTTTAATATTTCTCTCTCTCTTTTCTCTCTTCTATTTTTTTTCTTTCTTATGTAATGATGTATATAGTGCTACATACAATACTGTGTGGAGTAAGAAAGAGAGAAAGAGAGGAAGAGAAAATAGAGAGAAAAAGAAGAAAGAGAGAGAGAAAACGACAGAGAAAGAAAGAGAGAACTATTTTGTTTGAGAAGATGGTTTTTAATAAGTAAAACATACCCCACAAATAAACATGCATATCACTAAGATCAGTTCTATACAGTTGCTATTGTAATTGTAGGTAGGTGCGTGTGTGTGTGTGCGTTTGTTTGTGTATGTATGTGTATGTGTGTGTGTAAGTATGTGTGTGTGTGCGTGAGTACGTGTGTGTGTGTACGTGTGTCTGTGTGTGCGTGTGGCCTGTAAAAATAAAAAATAATATTTATTATTATTATCAAGTAATTAAAACAGTTGAAGTTTATGAGAATAAAAGCTGATGGCTTGATAACAAAAATTGCATCAGAAAATAAGAAAAAAATATCATAGCAACAATAATAATAAATACAACAACAACAACAACACAAATAATAATAATAATAATAACCGCCATAATAAACAATAATAAAATAATAAGTTACAAAGCATTAATGTTATCTGAACGTTACTATCACAAGTAGATAACACTCAAAATTTTGTGGAAAACATACAACAATAATAATAAAAAAAATTAGCAATTTATTTCTCTCTCTCTCTTTTTCGTTCTCTCTATCATCCTCTCTCTTTCTCTCCTTCCCTTTCTCTCTCTCTCTCTCTCTTTTTAGATACATTAACAATATTATATGTATGTGCATGCTTACGTGTATATGTCAGTACGTGTGGGTAAGTATACATATGTTAGTGTGTTTGTGTGTGTTTGTTGTGTGTGTGTGTGTGTGTGTGTGTGTGTAAATTGTACATCTATTAGAATAATACGCTTTCATCAGTTTGTATTACATTAATGATTAGCTATAGAACATAATAGAACGTAGATAATAATTTAAATAATAATAATAATAACAACAACAACAAAACAATAATAATAATAATAATAAAAATAATATTAATAATAATAACAGCACCGTGAATAACCGACAATGATTAGTAATTATTTTTTAAACAAATAATATTACGACATTACGTGACATCATACATGGTATAACAATTGCAAGCCTGATGCGAGGTTTGAAAAATCCAAGCTTGGAAAAGCATTGGCTGGCTTTTTTTCGTCTTTTCACGGAAAATATGAATTTGTACTGGCAAATTTTAGCAATTTTACGGCGAAAAATGATTTATTTTTCATCTAATTATTACATTTCAAAATGTTATTAAGTCTAAATTAGTTTATTTATCAATCAAAAATTCAAAAAGTTAATTTTTTTTAAAATTTTGAGTTTCAGTTCACTTTTAATTTAATTTACCCTTTAAAAAGTGCTGGAATGTTAAACCATGTGTTGTTTTTTAATAAATATAAGCCCTATGCAATGGAACGAAACACAAAATTAGAGTATGTAAGTGCATGTGAAAGTGTATGTGTGTGTGCGTGTGTGTATGTGTGTGTGTGTGTCTGTGTGTGTGTGTCGTATTTATTTAAAATTAATATAAACAAATAAATCTAAATACGATTTAATTAGATAAATATTATTCTTCATTAAAATATATTTAAATCAAACAAATACACATTTAAACTTACTTAAGGATATACGAACAGAAAAATAGCCATCAAATACGAGCTTAAAACGACCGGATCCTTTTAATAAGCCTCAATTTTCGTAGTTGTGTCCCTTTATATACCTGTTCATATAATATATATATATACGTGTGTGTGTGTATATATATATATATATGTGTGTGTGCGTGTGTGTGAGTGTGTGTGTGTGTGTGAGAGAGAGAGCGTGAGTGTGTGTGTGTGTGAGAGAGAGAGCGTGAGTGTGTGTGTGTGTGTGTGTGTGTGTGTGTGTGTGTGTCTGTGTGTGCGTGTGTGTCATTTACTTTTTTACATGATGACAAAAAATTGTTATATTGATAAGAAGTTATAATGGTTAAAAAATGAGAGAAGTTTAAGTAGTATTCTTATTTATAATTAATATTAGTAGTAGTAATGGTAGTAGTAGTAGTAGTAGTAATGGTAGTAGTAGTAATAGTAGTAGTAGTAAGAGTAGTAGTAGCAGTAGTAGTAGTAGCAGCAGCAGTTGTAGTAGTAGCAACAGTAATAGTAGTTTCATACTATTATTATGTTTCATATTATTATTATGTTTCATATTATCATTATTATTATTATTATTATTATTATTATTATTATTATTATTATTATTATTATTCTCTTAAAATATTTGCCGACACGCGTTCACTGACGATGACGTTCAATTTTAAAAACCACTTGAATTGCAATTGAAAAAATGAATTTAAAAATTGTATAATTTTAAGTGTACGTAATTGTTTGTTTGTGTATGTGCGTGCGTGCGTGTATGTGTGTATGTGTGTGTGTGTGTATGTGTGTGTGTGTATGTGCCTGTAGTTAATGTTCCTTTGTGTATTATTAATATAATGGATTATTTACAATGGCGTGATGCATTATCGCTATATATTAGAATAGATTCATACCTATGGTTAAAAATACCACGGTCTAAAACTCTCCCACACGTACACATTCACACGCAAACCCTCTCACACACACACAAACACATCACAAACACACACACACAAGACACATCACAAACACACACACACAAGACACATCACAAACACACACACACACACACACACACAAGACACATGTGTGGTGCATATAAAGTGGAATGATTTTCGAGAGATGTGCTGCTTACTTGTGCTTTTGTGAAAAGGTCATGTTTGAAATTCTAATGAACGTGCAACGCCAACATCGCGTTACATTGCCATTGCGTAATAACCAAAATAACCAAATACTTCAAAATGTAATATTGGTTATATAGCTTAATCAGCTTTTATTTGAATAAACTGAAAACTCAAACAATGATTCACAAAGATTGTCTTTTTATTCTATTTTCACGAGTAAATACTCATGCTTTAGTGAAGATATGAACGTGGGGCCGATGTAAGGTAGAATGCCAAATGACATTTGGATCGCTTCGTTTCATATTGAATGACCGATAACGTACTAGACTAGGTCTTCTTTTTAAACTATTTGGTGTACATACACAGCACGCACACACGCACACACGCACACACATGTTTACACACACATACCACACATGTGAATGTCAAAGATGCGTTATTACTAAACCCACATAACCTAGCTCAATATGAATGAATGTTTGAGTGAGTGAGTGAGTGAGTAAGTAAATGAGTGAATAAATGAATGAATGAATAAATGAATAGATGAATGAATGAATGAATAAAATTATTTGCACAAACTTTCTCGAAAATAAGCAAACATTACACGCTGACATTCAATTATTCGGCTGGTTGTGGGCTGTTACGTAATTAATTGTTACTCTTTAATGAGGAAACATGATGAATAAGTAAGTTAAAATATATGGGGGGTATATATCTTAATTTTAATTTATTTATCCCCGCTCTTGGACAGTAAATGAAGCAGCAGCAGCAACAACAGCAGCAGTTGCAGTATTAGTAGTAGTAGTAGTAGTAGTAATAGTAGTAATAGTAGTAGTAGTAGTAGTAGTAGTAGTAGTAGTAGTAGTAGTGTCGGTTGTAGTAGTCAGTTATGAAATAGGGGTAGGGGCAAATTTGTACATCGTCCATGATGGTATATGGAAACTGAATTAATTTGCGAATATTACATATTAAAATTAATGAATTAAACAATCATGGTTTTTTTAGGGGGTGGGAGGGGAATCGTCTTCCTACCAACCTACCTACCATGATATATTTCCATGTTCCCAACAAATGCACCCATGTAGAGCTCCGTTACGAGTTAAAATGTTAATAAAGTTGGCGCTACTATATTAAGTGCTGCTAACTTTTATATCACCATAGTAACGGTTTTACTCACTTTTTTAAAAAATCTCATCTTATTATTGCAACGATTAAATATTAAAACAAATTATTATTGATTTTATCATTAATTTTATTATATTTGTTATAATTTAGCAATAATAAACTACAGTGAAAAAATAACCAAAAATGCCGAAAGAGTTCGACGGCAGACACGTCAACCCCATCGCTAATTCAAATGCTAAATGCCTCATTGAGAACTGGTTCGAAGAGGTTGGATAATTGAGATGAAATGAATTGTTAATTTTATTTTCACATTAATTTGTGGTATTAATCCTTTATTTGGCGACGATTATTTCAAAATTCCATTTTAAATCATTACTTTGTATTTTGTAATCTGTAATTGTAATTAATAGTTAAATAGTGTAATCTGTAATAGTGTGTAATGGTAATCTTTAAAATTTAATCAGTAGTTGTCATATCATTGTTTCGACAGAGAGCTGTAGAAAGTTTGGATAATGACAGAAGGACCAGTGAAGAAGAACCAGTTAATCTGACAAGACTAATTAGTGAACACAAGGGAATACTCTCTACTAATTTTAACAAAAAATTTGACGACCTGACTGTTAATATCAATTCATACAGGCCAACCTGCTTCTATGACAAAACACCAAGTACTTTTTTTTTAATAATTTTTCATTGATAATAATATACCTAAATGTAATTTTTAGGTATATTATTTTTATATGAAAAATTGAAATTTAGTTTTAGATTTGATAATTTTTAATTGTTCCCTAAATTGATGCACTACTGTTTAATAATGAAAGATACAAAGGCAGACATGCTTGCAAAACAGTTTCATGAACAAGCTGTGTTAGTAGCATTTTCAATGCACTTTTAGTATGTACGTATCACAAATTCGATACCTATGATCTTAACTTTAATTAATAAATAGTTAACACTTGTTATAAGTTTTGTAGTAACTATTAATAATTTTTAATATTATTTGTTGAGCAGTAGGGAATTGGAAGCCAGAAAAGTTGAAGAGAAGTCAAAGGAGAGTGTAGTTGTTAATGAAATGCCTGTCAGAGTCAACTGCTGTTGCCCAGTTGCTGAAATCTATGTAAGATCTGTATATCAAATGTTTCATACATTTTGTTGGATTTGTAAAAATTAAGATTTTAACTTATTCTAAAGTATGTATATTAGAGTATTTCAAATACAAAGTTTTTTTTTGTATAGTATCTACTGACTAGTGAAATGATGCCACTGTAATTGTAAATCATTTTCGTTTTTCATTCAACCTGACAGCGGCCCGATTACATCAATGAACAGCCCATAACATTCTGGTCTCAACATTCAAAAATTATTCCAGTAATGAAATTTTCTTATTTTTTTGCAATACTTTCTATTATATATGAGTCATAGTGATGATATGTGCTCTATACATGTAGTATGTCATCCGTCATAATTAACTACCACAATCTTACACAAACCACACACACACACACACACACATACACACACAACAAACACAACCCACAGAGTGTTAGTGATGTTAGGAAGACCTTTGAAACACCATTCAGAAAGAATGCATCTTTCAGCACTCCAATTGAATATAGCATGGAGCCAAACAATCATAAACCATATGAACATGACCACGTTCCTAATTTGTAGTTTGGGGCGTATATTTATGCATATACTATGTGTAAAAATAAGAGTTCGTCTGTGTATCAAATATTTTATTAGCTTACTATACAGATAACGGTTTTTAAGCAGACAGAATCATGCAGCAGTCGTGGCCGAGTGGTTAAGGCGATAGACTAGAAATCTATTGGGCTCTGCCCGCACAGGTTCAAATCCTGTCGACTGCGAACTTTTTTGTCTTTTAAATTTCCACGTTATTGCTTGACCAGGATTATTTAGATTTTTGAATTAATTTTTTTTTTCGCAAAATAGAAATAATTTTGTGTTTGTATTCGTTTGATATTTTCACTATATGTTTATTTTATAATTAGTGAAAAGATTATTTAAAATTATCATCAAAAGTGTATACATTTGCGTTTCAAAATTATGCAAATTCTCTAAAAACTGCTTATTCATCAAACAGCTGTTCGACCACAAATTATATTTAAAAAAGACAATTTGTCTTTGGTTTCACTTTTCGTCTTTCGCGAATAGAATAAACAATGGCGGGCGATATAGAGTGTACTGAAAATATTCTCTACGTAAAAACTGTAAATTCTGAATGGCAGTTGAACGCGGAAGTAGTGGTATTAGTTTTGATGACGACTTTTATTTATTTAGATTTAAAATTTTTATTTTAACTTTGTGAAAATTTTTCAATCATGACGTGGACCATCTCTCTCTATTCTTGCTATCCAATTATTCATCAATGATCAATCAAATCAATATTTTTCAAAATTATAATATAAATTAATTTCAATTGCGATTCAAATATTAAATAATATTAAATTACAAATTTTAATTCAATATAAACAATATCACAGCCACATTCATTTAGAGAAAAATGCAACAGCTTGATTGAGCATCAAGGGAAAAGTAACCAAATTTAATAATTAAATTAAAAATAAATAGAAATTAGGAGATCAATCAAAAAACGTTGTTATGTAATATATTTATATATATATAATTAAATAAATAAATATTAAACTGATTTTAATTGTTAAAAAGTTGTCTTTTATTATAAAAAAAAATGTTTTAAAATTTAAATTTAATCAATAAATTTATCTCTATTATCTAATTATTCATATTTATTATTAAATTATCTTGTTTTGTCAATGTTATAATTGCTTTTAATATATAAATAAATAAATTAGTTAATTAATTAAAAACTTATTGATTTTTTTAGATTCAACCTGGTCTTATTTAGTTAGCTGGCTATTGAGGTAATTGTCTCTAGTCAATTTGATAGAATTCACAATTATTATTTATAATTTTGTATAATAATTAAATAATTATGTTTCTGTTGCATTTGTTTTATTATCATTTCAATCATATAATAATTAATTGAGTTATTCATTCATTTATTCATTTTTAATTTAATTTTAATTGTTTCCTTAGGCAAAGTACCTTGGAATGCCATTCAGCAGAGTTTTTGAAGTTCATTAACTCACAAATCAGCTGGAAAATTGTCCTTTCGAAGTTAGTAACAGACATATTTTTCAATAATATTATTAAATATTATCTTAGATTATTTTCTAAGGGCAATAATATCACTGTATATTTATAATTAAAATGAAATCCATTATATCAATCATTTGATCATGACTGTATTACATTTAATTTACCAAAAAAACAGCACAAAAGAGTTAGCAGCCATCCTCTGTGATCATTCTATAGAGATTAGGTAGGCTTTATCAAGTTCCCATTAGTTTATTAAAAAATGTGTGACTTGTTTTCATTTTCTTTTTCTGTGAAAGTTTATTGTTGCAGTGAGGGAGTGTAACTGATTCCATTTCTCTCTCTCTCTCTATCTTTTTCTTTTTTTCTCTTTCTCTAATTTTCTAAGTATTATATTATTATTTGAATACAAAAAAATACACCTTCACAAAAAAATACACCTCTACTTTCAGAAATTAAGTGATGACACCTTCACAAAATATCTTCATCTTTGTTCTCTCTCTTTCTCTCTCTCTCTTCTCTTTCTTTCTTTCTCTCTCTCTCTCACTTTATCTGACTCTTTCTTTTATAAATGAGTTTTTAAATATTTTATTTATTATTTAAACATAAAATTTCGCTACCCAAACTTTATTAAAAGATCAAGCAATGATGACTTCACCGAATGTCTGGTGAGGTTTAGCACTCCAACGCAGGACAACTTTCCCCAGTGGAGACTTCTGGCTTGGGCGCCTGATGATTCCATCCTTGCTCTCTCTGACAGCGCTGGCAACGTGTTCTTGTATAATATTGCTGGCTCTCTTCTCTGCCATATCTCTCCGGTTGGTTACGTTGTGTTGTTTTGCTGTTGTTGTGTATACTATTGCAGGCTTTTCATTTTGACGTATCTTTTCTGTTTCTTATTTTGTTTTTTGCAGTTATCATAACTGTTTTTGTTGATTTTGGCTTCACAACTATCTTCCAGAACACAAACCTGCCAGAGGACTTGAGTGGTGCTCTGTGTTCAATCATTTTTAAGGAGAGTATGACTATAAAGCAACCTGATTCCAGTGGTAGCAGCAACCAGCTACAACAACAACATTGGTTTTGTGAAATGTTGATTCTTAATTATAAAGGTTGTTTGGTTGGCTGGTTGGTTTCCATGGTTCTTGTTTTGTACATCTGTTTGGATGTTTGTCTGGATGTCTCTATATATGTATGTCAGGATTTTTTGTATTTTTTTGTCTGTGCATCTGTATTTTTTATTTTTTTGTTTCTACATCTGTCTGTTTGCCTGCCCACAATTGTATTTATCATGTTTTTATAATAATTTGTAGGAAGGTGATTTAATTAAATTAATTTGTAGGAAGGTGATTTAATTAATTTTATTTAAAAAGAATGTTTTACTTTATGGTCTCACTTATTAATCATATATACTGCAGGAAACCTGACTGCATATGCCATCAGGTAATCATTTTGACTTATCCATTAATTAAGTTGATTAGTTAATTATTTTATTAAATAAATAATCAATCAATCAGCGAATTAATTCGTTAATTAATTGAAAATTACAAAAATCTAATGAAAAAAATTGTAACAATTTTGACAGCCAGGAAGGCGATTACAAATTCTTGCACAGTTTTTCATTTGAGAAGTACCATCAAAATGGTATAACCCAGGCTCTTTACCTGCCTAACTACTCCATCCTACTAATCGGGGGTGGCAGTTTGGTGGTAGATTACCAGCCGAACCGGACAGCAGCGGGTCAGGGTGGGGAAGGGGAGGTGGCAGCCATTCAGAACTATGGCGTTTCGGCATGGAGGTTTATTTCTGGGGAACCACATTATAAAATGGTTGATGGTTTTGAAAATGAGCTTGAGAGCCTTTTAAATTCAAACGTTAGCTCGTTCTTTCTTTTATTCATCTGTTTCTTCTTTGGTTTATTTCTTCATCATTCACTCGTTCATTCCATTTGTTCAGGCCTCCTTTCATGTATTAATCATTCATTTGTTTGAACATATAAAGACTCCAAAATTTTTCTTTAAATTTTTGTTCACTGTTTATTTTGTAACAGTTTTGTTTCCCTGAACTAAAGTGTATTCTCTTTTAGAGTTTGACGAAAAAGTTGTCGGCTCTCATCCAGCCGTTTTGGTCGTCAGGTAATCAGAGTGACGTCATTTTTAAGATGGCGGCGTCCCCAGATTGTCGTAGGCTCGTTACGTTGCACGCGTCTGAATCCATTCGCTTTTGGTCATTGCCATCATTCAAGTTGGTGAAAAAATTTGGAGTCCAGGAACAAGGTGATCGAGAATTTCTTCATTCTAATGATGTCAAAGATCCTAAAAAACTTGAAGCTTCTAACGGTTTGTGTATATTATCTTTCTCTCTCTCTCATTCATTCATTCGTTCATTCATTCATTCGTTCATTCATTCATTCATTCATTCATTCATTCATTCGTTTTCACGTATATTCTTTTGTAATAATTATAAAATTAACTTTAAAAGATATCAATAAATATAATTCAGATCAGCAGACAGCTTACCACGTTGTTGATTTCTCGTGGTGGTCTAATGAGGTTCAGTTTAATATTTTTATTTGGAGTTTTTCATCAAATTTTCATCATTCTCATGTGTGCTTCACTCAATTTAATTTTTTAATTTATCTCCAAAGGATCTGATTGTAGTTAGAAATACCGGCTGCCTAACTGTCTCGTCTGTCACTAATTTCACTAATCGATTAGGGAAGACCCCAGAGGTCTTTCAACAGGGATGTTCCTTGATGAGATTTCAAGATGGCTGCTTCTATGTTCTAGAAGTTTGTCATTTGGTTTCTATCCTTGTTATTTTATTATTTCGTCTAATATATATCTCATTGGGTTTTCGTAAGCTTCTCAGGTTTTATATATTGAATAATAATTCGATTCGTTGATTGTTTTAGCAGCGTATTTAATTATTATGTTGTCGCTGCTGCATATTCACTTAATACATCCAGTAGGTAAGGTACTATAGATTATATTTTTCCTATTTGCCTAGTAACTTCACTAGACAGTAAATCTAACCACCTCAGTGTGAAAAATCCTACGCTGGCAGTGCTATCAATCTGAAAAAGCAAGCAGCGCCGCAACACCAGCTCCAGCTACTACTAAATAACGGCCCAGACGACGATGATATAGCACAATCCGAGCTTAACATCAATCTTGACAGTCCCAATGACAACAACAACAACAACAACAACAATACTAGCAGCAGCAGCGGCAGCAACGACAATAGCGACCAACCAACGACTAACGACGATGTAGATGTCACTGATGATAGTAGTCTGGCTAGGAGTTTGACGAACTATTTAAAATACATGCTCTACTATATTACTGATCTAGAGGCATTTCATGCACCTAAAAAAAGACAAAAGTAGGTCTACTATTTAGTTTAATTTGGATACGAAAACCCTTAATAATAATTATAATTATAATAATTATTATTATATTTATGTTCAGAATGTTAAGAAGGGTCTATAGGCTGTATTGTATAAAGTCAACTACACCTGAAGACCTATATGCCAGCAAGGTTTAATTATTATTTTTTTGTTATTATTATTTTTATTATTGTTGTTTGTTTTTATTGTTATTGCTATTATTGTTATTGTTTTTTTTCTTGCAAATTTTTATTTAAACTTATTGTTTCTATTTGTAGTTATTTTTTTCTTGAAATAAAATAACTTACAATTTTTTTCTCACAAGCTTGATAACGAGGAATACGAAGAAGCTCTCCTATTGGCTCAGACGTATGACCTTGACTGCGACCTGACCTATCAGAAACAGTGGAAAAGGTCAACTGTAACAGTCGATACCATCCATAATTATTTGGTTATTATTACTATTATTATTTATCGTTTTTAATTAATATTCAATTAAAATCAAATATTCATTTTAAATCGTTTAATTGTTAAGCAGGTATACAATAATGACGACAAAAACTAATTTTAAAAACAAAAAAAAAGACTAAATTTTCTACCGTTGAACTCTTATGCGTGGGTGTACGAACGAACGAATAAACGAACGAACGAACGAACGAACAAACGAATGAATGAATAAATGAATGAATATTTTTTTTTAAGGAAAATTTTTTTAATTTCAGTCGAGAGTCAGTAAACGATCATGGGTACTGCATGAGTGTCTGGAGCGGGCTGTCCCCAGCATGGTCGCCATGATCGAGTTGATCCAGCACGGCCTCATTGGTACTAACTTGCAGGCTGTCGTAGCCGCTGGCAGTGATGGCGATGATGGCAGGTCGGTAGCGTTTTTGTTGCGGTCGTGGCTGTTGTGGTTGTGGCTATTGTGGTTGTGGCTATTGTGGTAGTGACTATTGCGGTTGATATCGTTGCTACTATTCTGCTGTTGCTATTTTTGTTTTTTTGTTACAGTTATTATTATATTTAGGCTGTCTATTGTTGATAATTTTGATTAATTTTAGTAACGATGTTGTTTCTGTTACTTCGTTTTCCAGGTTCCTATTTTGTGATGGTGATAACGATGACGATGATGACGTCAGTGATAATGGCGGGAATAAGCAGGGAAAATTGAAGAAAAAAAAGAAGGAGGAGCTATTAAAAATGATTGACTTTGAAAAGTGAACTCATGTTTTAACAATTTTAATGTTGTTTATTAAAAAAAAGTCTAGAAAAAAATTTGTACCATTTACCATTGATTGTATTGTATTGTATGGTCTTGTACAGAATAAATATAAACGAACAACCACAGTTTGAACTTTCAGCAGAAGGAACTCTGTAGGACAAGGTTGAGATTGTTACAGTATATGGACAGACTTCAAACATACCAAGTATGCTATTGTTCTTTTTTTACTTTTCTTTCTTTCTCTCTTTCTCTCTCTCTTTCTCTCTCTCTCTCTCTCTCTCTCTCTCATACTATCACTTGGTGTACAAATACGTTTCATTTTCTTCCTTTCTTTTGCTCTATCTTTCTTTTTCTCTTGCTCTGTTATTTCAATTCTTTACATTGAATGTTTTATTAATGTGATTATTGATGTGGCTGATGTTTTGTTCAAATAACAAGGAGATACTGGCGTCTGACAGCCAATCGCATGAAGCCTATGACAGTAACTTTTTTGTCAGGCTCAGATCTGACAACATAATTGAACTTGCTGTTGATTATGCCAGGGTTAGTTAGCTGGTTGAGTGGCTGGTTGGTTGATTGGTTGATTGATGGTTGGTTGATTGATTGATTGAGTGGTTTGTTGATTGGTTAATTGATTGATGGTTGGTTGATTGATTGAGTGGTTGGTTGATTGATTGATGGTTGGTTGATTGATGGTTGGTTGATTGATTGAATGGTTGGTTGGTTGGCTGGTTGATTGATTGGTCTACATCTATATTTTTTCCAAACTAATTTCAGACTTGCAACACGTCAGCTCTCAGTTGCATGTTCACATACCATGGCCAACAGCTGCTGCCACACAGGTATTGGGCCACTCTTTGTATCTTTGATGCTCGTTGTTCGTTATCATTATTATTATTATTATTATTATTTTATTAATTATTATTTTATTATTATTATTTTTTCTTAATTAAACAGATTGGCCATAGTAAATAATTTTCCAGAGACAACATCACCTGACTTGTACTCCAGTCTTCTGCCAACTTTGGAGTAAGTTATAATATTATATATAATAATAATAATAAAAATAATAATAATTATTATTATTATTATTATTAATCATTATTTTTGTTACTAATTACTCTATCTTAATTGTTTTTCAATGTTTTTAAATATTCATAATGTTACATAATGACCTTTCAACTGCACTTTACAATGATTGGGTATTGTCTCTACAAGCTCATCCAATCAGATGAAAGAATGGCCGACGTTAAAATGGCGGCAAGAAGCCGATTGGTCGGAAATTCACTGCAAGGGGTATTGTATTGTTTCTTAACTAAAAATTACACACAAACACACATACACACACGCACATATATACACGCACACACACATACATACATACACACACAAACACAGTTTGTTGCACGAAAGCACTATTGCCATTGGCAATAGTGATGATGACGTTGACGCATCAATCCTTTATGAACAAAATCCACACCTATCAAAATACAAGTTAGAATAATAAATTATTATTATTATTATTATTATTATTATTATTTTTTGTTATTCTTTTTATTTTTTACCATTAACATTTTAATCTCTCGATACATGAAGTTTTTATAAGATAATGATAATAAAAATTAATAATATGAGTAATATTAATAATAAATAATAATATTATTAAATATAAATAAATAAATAATTAATAATAATAATAATGATAATGAATGATAATACTAGAGGGGTATCATTAAGTAGAGATACAATGTTAGACTGGTACAGAGGCAGATGTTTGGAGATGGAAAGACTGTCCAATTGCGTCGATGGTTCTATTGCCCTCATCCAATTGGCTATCGACTTTGGGTTCAAGGTCGGTTGATGGATTGGCTAGTTAGCTGATTGGCTGATAGGATGGACAGTTTGTTGATTGGCTGGTTGATTGTTTGGCTGGCTTAACAAGAATAATTTTGAGCAATCACAGCAATGTGTTTAAATCAAACGTTCTCAAACAACCAATCGTACACAGGATGCAAAACTAAATAATTTTAAATAACCAATCATGTTAAAGAGCTTAACCGACATAATTGAAATTGACCAATAGGAGCTTTCGGATCTCTACGACAACCTGGTGACTATGGGAACTTTGACGTATGAGTGTCACGTTAGCGATAGTTTGACATTCAACTCGTTGTTGAGGATGTCAATTCTTGACGTTGTCAAGTTAATGATGGCCAAGGTAGACTGGTCGTTCGTGATTGGATAGCCGGTTGATTGGTTGAATGTTGCTGATTGGTTGATTGGTTGGTAGTTGATTGGTTGATTGGTTGGTTGGTTGGTTGGTTGGTTGGTTGATTGGTTGGTTGGCAGTTGTAACTTACCTTCTAACCATCATGTCAGTCATCATAATAATAATCATCATAACGCACAGTCAAACAAGGAGACGTTCATAAGAAACCTCAAAAAATGGGTCAAGCCTTACTTGGAGAAGCAGGAGTACAAGAAATCAACAACGGAAACATACCACGACCTACTTAAATGTTATCTGGTCGCCATTGCAAGGGATGATCTCACTTACGTTGATTTGCTTTTTAAAGAGAGTGGAGCTGAGGTTTGTTGTGTGGAGAAAATCAGCTCAGCCGGTAAACATAAAACATAATGAAATAATGGGCACGAAGAACGTATGCCCATATCTAAATGAAATAAAATGTTATTATAGCATCATTATGTAATAATAACATGTCATAATATGGTGTTATAATAGTGCAGTAGGAGTGCTTTCTGCCCGTCTAAAGATTTTATCGCGCCCTAACTTGAATCGAATGCTGTCTTGGCGTATATGACTAATGTGTTTCGTGGGATGGTGATGTGTGCGTGCGTGCGTGTGTGCGTGCGTTCGTGTACGTGTGTGCGTCGTGCGGGAAGTATGTGATGTAGCAGCTATTACCGATTTTCTCAATATTGTTTTTTTCATTACGAATTGATTCATTAGGTAGCTGAACCGATAATAAAGACGAATAGATGGATGGCTGTGATTGGCAGAGAATGCTTGTATGCACATAATGGGTTGGTTTACTCGTTTTGAATGATTCATTCATTCATTCGTATCGCTCATTTATTTATTCATTCATCCATCCATTAATTAATTAATTCATTCATCCATTCATTCGTTGTATCGTTCATACATTCACTCATCCATTCATTCCTTCATTTATTGGCAGCTGCGATCAACTTAGTATAATGAAGTCAGTAATCGCCAGTTTGTCTGCTACTGACGATGATGATGATGGTTATATCAATTCAACAAAGAATGAACTTCAGACGTGTTTGTTGTGAGTGTTGTTGCTGTTTTGTTGTGAGTGTTGTTGTTGTTTTGTTGCGAGTGTTGTTGTTGTTTTGTTGCGAGTGTTGTTGTTGTTTTGTTGCGAAAGTTGTTGCTGTTTTGTTGTGAGTGTTGAAAAAAAACACAAAATAAAACAGAGGTGTTGAAATATTGAAGAGGAACGGTATAGAAATGACCCTATCTCAAATTAAAGATATACAGGTTTAAAATTTATTATTATAATTGATCAAACGCTTAATTAATCAGTCAGTCAATCAATCAATCAACCAGCTAACCAGTCAATCAAACAACCAACAAACCACATAACTAACCAACCAACCAATCAACTATTATTACTCTACTATTATTATTATTATTATTATTATTATTATTATTATTATTATTATTATTATTATTATTTATTTTTTTTATTAGCAATCTGAAACAGACGCCGTAAAGATATTCACGAAGATCGCGAGGACGTCTGTCAAAAAGTTTGAATGTTGTTTTGGCGGTTTTTTTTTGTGTTTAAGCTCCATTCACTTTTAACCATTTTGCATTTATTATTATAATTATTATCATTTATTATTATTATTATTTATTATTATTATTATTTATTATTATTCCAGGCACCCGCCAGTGACGGATGATGAGTTGAGGTTTCTATTTTCAGACATGTGTACCCTCCAACAGGATGTGATGATGTGTGTGCCAGAACATGTGTGCTATGAGGTCGTGTGTGTGTGTGTGTGTTCTCTCTCTTTCTCTCTCTCCCTCTCTTCCCCTCTCTCTCTCTCTCTCTCTCTCTCTCTCTCTCTCTTTCTTTCTCTTTCTCTCCGACTCTCTGATATGATTATTATAGGTGTGGTGTTATGATAAGCGAAAAACAGATGTTTGTTTGTTTGTTAGTTTGTATGTATGTATGTTTGTTTGTATGTTTCGTCATGTGGCGATAAAAATGATTCTGAGGTGGTATAGCAGTGGTGATTAAATTCGTTAAAAAAAATGATGATCACAACATAACGATGACGCTCCTCTTATGACGTCATCGTCGCCTCGTTTAACACTTCTGACATCATCCTCCTCACTGCAGATTTTCGTCAGCAGTTTGCTCTGCTCCGGCAATCTAGCTCACATCAAACTGGCGAAAACGGCAATGCAGTCATCATCATCATCATCGTCGTCGTCGTCGTCGTCATCACTCCAACCATCATCATCATCACAGCAAACATCATCATCGTCGTCGTCGTCGTCGTCGTTGCTGTCACAAAAACAGCCTCCCATCCACCACATTGGAGGCATAAAATCCACGATCAAGCAATCTATAAAATCGTCGTTGTCGCCATTCAGCAGGGCGTTCAACACCACACCATCATCATCACCATCATCATCATCATCTACTCATCATCAGCAGCAGCAGTTGCAACAACATCACCACCATGATCTCTTGGTGAATAGGTGCAGTTATGAGACGTCGGTGAAGTTGGTCATGCAGGCCTCCAGGGAGTATTTCGACTCCTCTTCTTCTATCTCTGACCAGGATATGATGCTCGCTAGGTGGGGCATTGATTTACACACACACACACACACACACACACACACACACACACACACACACACACACACACACACACACACCTTCACACACACACACACACCTTCACACACACACGCACACACACAAACAACACACATACACACGCACGTACACACACAGAGAATGCTTGCAGTTACTTGAAGACAGGCCAGCGTGCATTGAAGAGGAATTGAACTTGATTGAAGCTGTCGCCATGCTGGAAAGCCTAGGCGTGGGTTTGCTTCCCGTTCAAAGTTGGTTGATTGATTGATTGGTTGATTGATTGGTTGATTGATTAATTGATTGGTTGATTGATTGATTGATTGATTGATTGATTGATTGATTGATTGATTGATTGATTGATTGATTGATTGATTGATTGATTGATTGATTGATTGATTGATTGATTGATTGATTGATTGATTTAACCATTCATGCACCACATCAGTACGGATGACGACTGATAAATTGGATCTGATTACGAAAGTCTTCAAAGCGAAGAGAATGATGTACAAGAATATCAATAAGGTAATTGGAATCGCTATAACCATTGTTACCATCGACCAGCATCATCATCACCATCACCTCTACCGTCATTAACGAAATCAAATATAATTATTCTTAATTATATTATTATTAATAATTATAACTTTTTTAAAAATTAAATATTTAATAGACATTATTCAATACTTGAAGGTATTGGAGCTAGGTAGACTACTAAAAATTACCGATAACGAAGACGATAATATAGACGATGATGGCGATGACGTAAACAAAGACAGTGAAGTCAGCATAGATCGTAGAGTAAACAAAGACAATAAAGTTAGCAAAGATAAAGATAACGCAACCAAAGAATATGATAACGGTGCCAGCAAAGTTGTTGGCGTGTGTAAGATATTAAACATCGTGGCAGAGTTCGCTTTACAGGTTTATTATTATTATTATTATTATTATTATTATTAGCTGTACTAGTAGTAGTAGTAGTAGTAGTAGTAGTAGTAGTAGTAGTAGTAGTAGTAGTAGTAGTAGTAGTAGTAGTAGTAAAAGCTGTTGTTGTTGTTGTGGTGGTAATAGTAGCAGCAGTAGTTGTAGTTTTGTTGTATTGTTGATGCTATGGTTATGATTATGATGATTGTAATAATTATAATAATAATAA